TTTCCGATGTATCTTGAAGAAAAATTGACAAAAGCCTTGAAAAATCTTTAAAAAACCGAAAAAAAGTGAGAACGAGCGGAAAAAGTTTCACGTTCAAATTCGAAAAGTTCAAATACGCGCGCTTTTACTCACCGGGCGGCCTAGAAAAAAAGCTCGTCCCTAAGGGCTTTCAGCGTATTTTTCGATGCGTTTTTCTCGATGAAGGAACTTTTTTGAATTTTTTCTTTATTTTTATGCCAATCTACATGCATTTCTGCACTTTTGATGCAATAAAAAATTTCACCGTAGACCACCTTTAATGAGTGGTACAGTAAGTGTTACGTTCCGGAAGTTTTTTATTTCCATTTACAGGCTACCATCGATGAAAGAATTGTCAAAAAGGACGCCAAGACACAAACCGTTTCCAAAAAACGCAGAAAATTAAATGCCATCGATAACCTGAGCGAGATACCAATCATTCCGGGAAGAACATACAACTTCCGTCCGCGTAATCATGTCAGAGCAATCAATCAGGTAAAAGCGTCACGTCAGAAATTTTTATTTAACTTCTCCGCAAATAAAACTGTATTGCTATATAGAGTTCCTTACATTTTACAGGCGCTAACTTTGAACTCAATGAGTGTGGAATACTCTGGCGCTAAAGAAATTCATTCGGAGGCGAGTCAAATGGTTCAAGGACCAAATCACAGTGAGATTCAAAGCCAGGTGATTTCCAAAGAAAATTTCCGAATTTTCAAAATTCTCAGAGTGATTATTTTAACGATTTGATTGTTACAGACCTATAATGTCATCGGAAACAAAAGAAATCATGACGACGCTCTTCTGGAAATGAATCAAATGCTGAATAGTGAAGATATCAGCCGGCTGGTGGGTTTTTTTTTCCGAAAAATTTGCATTTTTATAATGATGAACCGGGAGTTCTTATGAGTTACCAATCGCAAGTCATTGAATTATAATACTTGATGTTCCCAATTTTCTCAAAAAACACCATTTAAATAAAATCTTTCAGAACACTCCCATATTCGAAGAAGAGATGTTAAATGAAGAACAAATAGAACCGTGGCGGGATGAGGGCCTCCGTGAAGCTATGGCACGTCTTCCAAATTCTGTGAGTTGTTAAAGCACCTCAAAATCTGTAATAGAAGATTTTTTGCAATTAAAAGGTTTATTTAACAAAAGGGCCTTCCGAGAAGGGTTAAAAAAATTATTGAGAAAAAAATCCTTCAATATTGATTCCTGAAAAATTTCAAAATTTCCACGATTTCACAGAAATGTTTTGAAACCCTTTTTTCCTGCTTAAAAGCGCTTTCCGATACTGTAAAATTGATAGATTTTTAAAAATTCAAGTAAGAATTCACCGATTTTTCAAATCAACATTTCCGGAAAGTTACGTTGAAACATTAAAAATGGCTTCCTTCTAAATGGGGATTTACAGTATGTAGGATAATCACAAGTTTCCCTACTTTTTGGAGCTTTCACAGTTCAAAAACCGAATATATAATCAAATCCGTAGTTTATAAAAAGAGAGTCATTATTTAAAGGCAATAATAAAAAAAACAAAAAAGCTGAAGATCATTTTGATCGTATATTACGAGTTAAAATAAAAATGAAAACCACGTTTTTACATTGCATTTTTTCCAGCACTGTCAGAAAATTTTGGAAGAATCTAGATTGGAAACTTTCCATATGCAATTTTTTGAGAAAGTTAAAAAAATTTAAATTTTAAAAAATGACCGAAGTGGCCAAAATGACCGAAAATATATTGCTGTTGTGTATTTACTTTACCTTGATTTATTTTCAGGAACTAGGAGAGTCTCCCTACAACTTCGACATCGAAAATGGCTACAATTGGTTTGAAGAGTTTGATGGCGTCTAATATGCCTCGATTTTAACATTGCCAAGAATTTTATTAATTCTCAAATCTTTGTTTTCTTTTTTCATTGTTACCTTTTTCACGCTTTTTTTCCTAACTTTTAATTTTTTTACTGTTACCATCACTCTTTTTTGTCTGTTATAATTTCAACTCACAAAAACTATCTACAGAAGTTTAACTTCTAAAATCTTTGTTTTTCTGCTCCTTTCACAAAAAAGAGATCGGTTTTGTGAAATCCCACTACTTCACGCATTCATTTTTCATTTTTTAAACAATAAAATTTGTTACTGCATATTCTTTTGCTTGTTCCCGAATTTTGAGAGCAAGCTAAAAATTGGACATTTTGTGAATTGACACTTTTTGAAAATTTTCGGTTTCTGGACTATTTTTTTGCAGAAACCGGCAAAACCAAAAACGATCCAAAAAAATATAAACTATTGTCGAATTAAAAAAAGTGACACCTGAAAATTTGGAAAATTTTGCTTTTTTTGATCTACGAAAAAATGCGGCAAAAACCTAATGTTTCAGAATTTCGTCTCGTTCGCGCTACTTTCACGTTTAAGTTCAATTTTTGCTGAAAAATACATTCTAAAGTTGCTAGCGATCATTTTCATACCAAGAAATCAATATTTTGTTCAGAAAATTCCACTAAATTCACATAAACAAATTTGTTATCTACAGTATCCGTTTTCGCTCCGCCCCCTCGTAAATCGACACAAGCGCCGTCTACGAGATTTTCAGGTGTCACTTTTTTTAATCCGACAATAAGTTAAGATTTACCAATTTTTTTGGAGTTTTCGGATGTTTTTATGAAAATTCCGTACTTCGCTCTTGTTTTCAGAAACGTTCATAATTTTAAAAAATTTCGGTCTGGCAGGTTTTTGCATGCAAAACACTATTTTTTTAGTTTTTTAACTGTGTTATTTAAATTTTTTCAGCTAGTATCAGCTTAATTTAAGCTTAGAAATTACATAACTGAAAATTTCAAAAAATGATAAAAACTGTTCAAAGTTCGAAATTTTAATGGAAACAGTCAAATAAATTGAAAAAAATCGGTATATCACCCTTAGGCATTATTTTTCCACTGATACCATGGCACAAGTCGGCTTGTTTTAAATTCAAAAAAGCAATTTTGCCACCACCTTGAGAACACAGTCATGTCCCTTTGTCATGTTGAAGATGTTTGGAATTAACATAATATATGTATTGGCTGAATATAATATAGAATTTGAGACATACATACAGTACCGGTTAATAAGATATACAAAGACGTGTTTCCCGGTTAATTTTCAGTCATTTTCAGGAGTCGGGAGCTTGGCTGCCAAGTGCCCGATCAGGTTGAAAATTGTTGAAAGTGTAAAACAGACCTTGATTGAAAATTTTGCATCCGCAAAAATGTTTCAAATTTTCTAGTTTTTGGGCTACTTGCCGATTTCTGAAGAGCATTCCCTTTTTTCTGTTTTGGTACTGAAAACGTGAGAAAACAAGTGACATTCAGAAATCGTCAAGTAGCTGAAAAGCAAGAAATTCTCAAAAAATTCTTTGTATCCTCGAAATTCCCATTGACATTGTACTCATTTCAAACAGAATTTTACAATTATTACAATTGTAGTAGTTTTATTGGTTATGATAAATATTCAAACTTTTCACAATTCATCTGATTTATGCAAGTTTTTTAAACCTAATTTTTGGTTTAGATCCAATTTTTTGTTATCTCACGTCTTCTTATTTCTTGTTTTCGTCAGTTTTGTACTCTTACAAAGGAACATCAACACCTTGTCAACCCTGATTTTGATGAAAGTTTCCTGATAGGTTAAAAATAGTCTACCTAAACAATTTGATGAATAATCCTTATCTCACAATCTTGTCAGACATTTTTTCAAAACAAATTACTATATTTTCGAAATTTTCTACGAATTTTGACATTTATTCGAAAATTGAAAAAAAAACATTTTTTTTTTTGAGGAAATGTCTAACATATGAAATTTCATTCAATTATTTTGTACTGTCTTCCCTACCCCTAGTGAAAATGCACATTTCTATCGAGAAAAATCATCTGCGTGGTATATATTGCTCTTCCACACCGGTTGGACACTCGAGGCCTGCTTGCTCAGGATCATATTTCATCATTCTGTTGTAGAGAGTGTAAAAAACTGAGAAACGCTAAGACGAAAAGAGAAAAGGCGCAGAGAAAAATACAATCGATCCACCGATGTGTCTTGTTCTACCCACATACCGACATATACCCCCTCATTTTTTCCTGTTGACGACTAAACTGGATAGACGTCTAAATTTCCCTGGGCGCTCTCCAAAAATTCTGAAAACGAATGGGTTTTGGAGAGTTCTTCTTTAATTTTTTGGTTATTTTCTACCCCCTATTATATTCTAGAAATCTTTTGAAAAAAGGAATTCTACGAAATTTCGTTTGGCTTTGTTTTGAAGAAAGGTTAGTTGTTGTAAATTTCGAATAAACTCAAAAGGGAACCGTGACAACCTCCTAAACCCACATTTTAATAAATATTTTAGGCTGAATGTAATGCTTTTCGAAACTAGAGAGATAGAGGTTTGAAAAAGATTATGAAATTACCGATTTTTGAAATTTGAAGTTCTCGTGTGATATTGTCGGAATTAAAATACTGTCAGCTGCCGTATATGCAGAAATGAGGCCGCGCCCCTTGTAACCGCCGCATGGTTTTCTGAGATTCTCGTATTTTAGAGTTTCTGTGCTATTTTTTTTTGATAAAAAGGTAATTTAAGAACGTTTATGTCTGTCAAGTATGTACATCTATGTACATCTATGTATGTCTATGTACAAGTATGTCGGAATTTTCATTGAAAAATAGCACAAAAACTCTAAAAAACGAGAATCTCAGAAGCGTGCGGAAAACCACGCGGCGGTTGCAAGGGGCGTGGCCTCATTTCTGCACACACGGCAGCTAACTTTTTTTTTTAAATTCCGACACTAACGAGTACAACGTTCATCTTCAGACGAGTACAACGTTCATCTTCCAGGCGATCATAGAGAATTGGAGGACTGAACAACGAAAATTCGGAACCACTCTCACCTTTGAAGGCATCCATACCAGACAAGTTGAGAAAATTCTCAATCAAATCCTGGAACGACGGCATTACCGTAAAAATGAGAATGGGTGAGATTAAAGATAATTATTGTCGGATTAAAAAAAGTGACACCTGAAAATCTCGGAGACGGCGCTCGTGTCGATTTACGAGGGGGCGGAGCGAAAACGGATACTGTAGATAACAAATTTATTTATGTGAATTTAGTGGGATTTCGTGAACAAAATTTTGATTTCTTGGTATAAAAATGATCGCTAGCATCTCTAGAATCTATTTTTTCAGCAAAAAACTAAACTTAAACGCGAAAGTAGATCGAACGAGACGAAATTCTGAAACATTAGGTTTTTGCCGCATTTTTTCGTAGATCAAAAAAAGCAAAATTTTTCAAATTTTCAGGTGTCACTTTTTTTTTAATTCGACAATATGATATAGAATAAAAATGAGAATTTTCAGAGACCTCATCATCCTTCTCTATCAGGATAAAAAACTGCGAATCTCATCTGGAGACCGTCATGCCAAGAAACCCCTGATTGTGGGACAATTATAGGAACTTTTTGAAATTGGAAGTCATTGATGTTGATAGTGAATGAGTGAGCTCTGAAAGCTAGCGAAATCAAAATGGATCATTTTGTTATTATATAAATCGTTTGTGAATAAATTCTTGTGTGTAAGTAATTTTTTTTTTTGAAATTCACCCGTCGGTATTTTCTCTCAACCCATTTGGATCAGTAGTGAAAGGTTCTCTCAAAAACCCCACCATGCGTCAAGCCCCGCCCCTTTTTGGCGCACGCTTCCCCTTTTCTCTGACGGATACTCACATCCCTGCGTCTATTATAATTCACTTTTCCCTGGCACATTTCTCTGGGTCTCCTTCGGATCCCCCTGCGTCTTCTTCGAGCCATGATATCATCAACAAGGTGAGCATAAAAAAGATTAGTTTGAAAAATTGGAAGTTTTTAGACGAATATGAAACTGGTTGGACTCAACTACCAAATCGCGTCGATGGCATTGCAAAATTAAATTATTTTTGTTTTCACCGTTTTGATTAGTTCTTCTATATTTGAAAAAAAAAACTTAATACATATTTTTCTATTGGTTACTTATTGCCTTTATTTTAACATTCCAAACAAGTTTCAGGTGTTTCAAAATCTCAATATTGAATTCGGATTTTTTGATAATTTTGGGCACATTTTTTGAAAACTGCTGATGAATCTTTTCGGTTACCATTTTCATATTTAAGGGACGTTTAGCTGAACTAATTTGGATTTAAAAGAGTGTCTACTGCGAAAGGAATTGGAATGATTACGGAAATTCTGTCCTCTATTGCTTCATCATATGCTGCATTGTTACCTCACCTTCAAAATTCAAAAATTCAGAATAACAGAAGTTTAGAAATTCTGAAATTCTGAAATTCGAAAATTCAGAAATTCAGTAATTCTGAAATTCTGAAATTCTGAAATTCTGAAATTCTGAAATTCTGAAATTTTGAAATTCTGAATTCCAGAAGTTTAGAAATTCGAAAATTCAGAATAACAGAAATTCAAAAATTCTGAAATTATAAAATTCCGAAAATCTGAAATACTGAAATTTGACGCTTTTTTCTTGTTTTTTTGCATCTAAACAAACAAGAACATTTCTCACGTCTCTCCGTCTCCTGCTCTCTAACCATGATGCAGAATATTCAATGTCTTGAACTTCTGCGTCTCTCTCCAATACTGTATATATCTTCGTCTTCTCCCAACTGTCCTCTAACAATCAATGTAGTCATTTTATCTGTTTTTTCCAATGGCGCAATGTGCGCGCCTCACCTTGTCTAGCTCCTTTAAATGGAGCTAATTTCCTGATATTTCTGGAACTATACTCTGATTTCTGCATTTAATGACACCTAAACATGAGTGGAGTATCTATTTTCATTTTTCTTATTCTTATTGAATGTATCGAGGTGAGAATTTCCGAATTTCTGAATATCTGAGTTTCTGAATTTCTGAATCTCTGAATTCCTGAACTCTCAAATTTCTGAATTTCTGAGTTTCTGGAAAAAATCAATAAAGTTCAAGATTAGTTTGCTGGTAAAATAAACTTTTTCAGGGCATCAAGGGCGTCAGAGATAAACTGCACTGGATCTACAATCAATATGGATTAGCTGAAAGCGATTTTGTACTTTTTTTTCTCTTACAATCCACATTTTGTTCCCTGTAATCTTTTTTCTGAATTTCTGATTTTCTAAATTTGTTGAATTTTTGAATTTCTAAATTTCTGAATTTCTGAACTTCTGAATTTCCAAATTTCTGAATTCCCGAATTTCCGAATTTCTGATTTTCTGAACTTCTGAATTTCCGAATTTCTGTATTCCTGAATTTCCGAATTTCCAAATTTCCAAGTTTCCAAATTTTCGAATTTCCGAATTTCTGAACTTATGAATTTCCGAATTTTCGAATTTCCAAATTTCTGAATTCCCGAATTTCTGAATTTCCTAATTACCTGATTTCATTTTTATTATTGCCTTTTCAATAAATTATATTTGTCACCCGCTCAGTTTTCTTTCTTTTCGTTTTCAGAATGAAACAGGTTCAAACTTCGTCTCCATTCTCAAAATTTTGAATCGTGGGATAAACTTTTCAAAATTTCTGGATTTATAAGTGAAGAACAAAATAGAATGTTGGCTGAGATACGCGATAAAAAAACCGATTGGCCACTGATGCCCAACTTCAATTACTTCGAATGTTGTTTCCGAAAGTCATTGAATCCAAACACTAACCTCATAATTTCTTAAAACCTAGGTTGCATAGCAGATTCGAGAAACTGGCATATCAAGAGCGTCCAGGCAAGCATTGAAGATCGGATGTTCTAGAGCGGAAGGATCAATATATCGGAGAGATGTCAAACCGTGTGGATTGAATAGAAGAGGTTCAGACCAGGCCTGTGCGGCAACAAATTGCCGATTGTCGAAATTGCCGAAATTGCCGAATTTTTGTTGCCGATTTGCCGTTAAAAAAATATCGGCAATTTCGGCAACTGAAATTTTTTTGAATTTAGAGATTTTCACAATTTTTTTAGTCAAAAAAAAATGATTTCGAAGTTCGAAACATCAAATTTTGAACACCATCATCCCTCAGAGTGAATTTTAGAGGAAATGTGTCCCAATAATCATCAAAAATATTTACATCGGATCTAAAAATGGGCTTCAAATTTGTGAGCATAGGAGAAAAATAGATATCATGTGTCGCAACTCATCAAAAAAATTATCCAGTCTGTCTAAAATCACTAGAGAACGTGTGTCGTCAGTTGCCTAACAAGCTGAGTACACTATTTTCAAAACTCACAATCAGAAAAAAATATTTTCAACCATTGGAATACCATCTGTTGTTCAAGATAAGTAGTTAGCATAAAAAATGTGATCTTGAGTTGCCAATTTTTGTAACTGCTTTGTTAGGAAACGCATGACACACTTTCTCTGTAGTTTTGAGCCTGATCGGAGCATTTTCAGGTGAGTTACGTATCGATTTTACTAAAAAAAGACGCAAACTATTGTTGCCGAAATTTGCCGAATTTGCCGAATTTTGTTTTCGGCAATTGCCGAGTTGCCGAACGTTGCCGAAAAGCATTCGGCAAATTGCCGAGTTGCCGAATTGCCGAAAAATTTTTGTTGCCGCACAGGCCTGGTGTGCGCCCTCCGAAGTAGGGCGCGCGCTCACGGCTTTATAACTCGTTTCAGAGTGGAGATAGAGCTTTCAGATCTTCAGAAGACGTACTGATAGGGATTCTGAAGCCGATTCGGAAGCCAAAACTTAAATCCATCATAACTCGGTTCATTTTTAGGCTAGAAATCTCATCTTATTTCCATTCGAACCGTCTCCTCGAGCTTAACACGCTGCACATTTTTTAAATAACAAAAGTAGGCGGGGCTGCACGGCACCGCCGCGCCTAGCCGACTCCGGCCGTAGGCTCGCGACGGCTAGTCGGACCCAACTATGAAACAAATTTTATAAGTATAAAGGGTTCCTTTCAGAAATTTTCACATTTTTTCGTCGTTTATAGCTTTGGTCTCGAGAACTAGGACCTAAATCAAAAAATTGCCTGCTACGAAATATGCATGAGATTTGTAGCTAGGATTCGTTTTTTTCGAAAACGAAAAAAGTTATAAGGCTTTTAGTGAAACGTGTTTGGTTCCAAAAAGTAGTTTGTAGTGATTTTTTGTGTCCAACTAAAAGAATGTTCATACTTTCAATTTTTATCCTCAGATGCACTCCAAGTATTCTGGTTCCCAAGAAATTTGCGAAAAATCACAAAAAAAATCGAAAAAATAGGAAAAAAACCGACCGACCTCCCAAATCTTATAATGGTCATAACTTGGTCCATTTTTGGTCCGATTGGTGTTCTGAGGAGAAGGGCGTATTTGAAAAAAAAATTCTCTATCGAAACAGATAAAATTTATCTATACTTTAGTACAAAAAGTTTTCAAAATCGCACTTACTCAAAAATGGGCTTGAAAACTTTCCTTAAATCCTGATTTGGAAAATTTTTCCACTGAAAATTGTTTGCTTTTTAGATATGCTGCTCGTGTGACTTAAAGCTAATGGAATCCCAAGTTTCAGCCAAAACGATCCGATACGAACCAAGATGCAGAAATAACAGGTTTGACCAGTAGTATGCTTGGTTTCCTTCGGAACGCGCTCTTCCTCCTCTCTTTGCGTCCGTCTGTGTGTCCGCGCCTCCCGCTGTGCGCACGCCTCTTTGTCCTTGGCTTTATAACTTGCTTCAGGAGAAATAGAATTCATGTTTTTCGAAAATGCGGAGTAATTTTTCTATGGCCGTAAGAAAAAAAAAGAAAAACATTTCCGGGAAACATCTGAGAAGAAATTTTTTTGCAATTTTTAAAGTTGAAATTCCCGGAGGAATCAAAGCACAGTATTTTGGAGAAGTCGATGGAAGAGACAGTGAATCTCGGCTTTTCTAGGCCACGACCCCTAATTTTTCATATTTTCAGCCAATCAGAAACATTTGGCCTTTCGAGTCGTTCGATATGCAACTATCACTTCGAATTTTTGGAAATTGAAGATTCTGAAACGATTGACCACTTCACACAAGCAACTTGTCTATTGCAAGATTGTTCCGCTAAAAAATACCAACCTAAGATTTATTTTTCTATTTTCGTATTATTTTCATCTTCTTGTACTTATAGAATTGGAAATTGTCATCCGCGAGACATTCAATCAAGAGCCTGCTTCAACGGAGGACGTGACATAATTTTGGGGTTTTACCTTTTGAACGGTTCTTTCTAAAAAAATTATTTATGATTTGTTCAAGTTTTCTGAATTTAACAATCGGAAAAAAATGGAAAAAGCCTTTTCTATTTTTTGAAAACCGTAGTGTTTTTGAAAACAGGTGAAGCGAAATTGTGGGCCAGAATTTCGAAATTTTATTTTTTCGATATTTTAACGGATGTCGAACAGACTGCAACACTATATCCATCTTTCTAGACTTCATTATTCCAAGTTGAGCAATTCATGGGAAATCAAAGAATCTGGTTACCCAAAAAAAATGAGGTCCAAGCTTGTTTTTCGAAATATTTGTACACTTAATCTGCTCAAGAAGAACGTTATTTTTGCCTCGCCGGATAACCCCAGCGAAACGGATCCAAAAATTAGATTTGTGTTCAACACATTCTTTCGAATGGTCGGAACTCCAGCGTACCTTGAGTAACTGGGTTAAAACAAAAAACAACGGCAAGACAACGCTTCTTATGTATTTTTATATACCGACATCAATCGAGGTCCGCGCCGGCGACGAGAGAGTACGAGTTTGAATAGACGAAGGCATCGGGGAAGAGAGAAAGGAGACAGCAGGCGACAAAAGAAAAGAGAAAAGTGGTGGAATGGAAATAAAAAGAAAGCAGGAGAAGGGAAATTTGGATCGGGGAGACTCGTAGATTGTTGGTTCGACTCTGCGTAGGACAAAATTTTTCGATTACGATTTTAACTGTCGGGCCCGCTCATGAAATTCAATTTACTTCTAAAAACGAACTTTCTGAAAAATTTACACTTTGAAGATAAATATCGTTAAGTTTATTGTACACGAAAAGCCTCAAATAATTTCTCCAAAATTCATACAAAGAATGTCCTAGAAATGGTCTGACATGGAATGACTCCCAGGTGTTACCCTCGAAAAAAATCGAGATAGAACATAAAAAGTTATTTCAGATTCTAAACGGAATAGTTGGTAAAAATTTTTTTGGGAGTTATGGTCCAAAAAGTACCAAAAAATGCCTAAATTTTCAAAAAATCATAACTTTGTCAGTTTATGTCCGTTTGTTGAAATTTAAAAAACAATAGATAGACAATTAATTGGACATTTAAGCACTGAAATGTTTATTTTTTCTTATTGATTGGATTATTGATTTTCTGAAAAAATCAAAAAAATTTTCAATATCTCAAAAATCCTAGGTTAACTTTTTTTTCATTATGACCATTGAATTTAGCACATTTGATTTACTATAGAAACATGTCAATACCCCGGGGGAAATCATGCTCACACAAGTTATGCCGAAAAATATCGATTTTTGGCACTTGGCTTCTTTGAATTCGTTGTCCTCGGCGGCCGTTATGGTGAGGGGCATACTTGTTTTTGTGATTTTTACTTGCTTATCGTTAGCCTAGAGTGTTTGAAATAAAATCCTGCGACATACAAAGTCAATTTTTCAAATGCCGTACCATTTCTTAAAATCATCACCTTGAAGAAAGCAAAATTTTGACATGTGACAGGGCACATTTAATTTAATTTAATTTATTGACCAGGTAATAAAACAATAGAGGGCAGGACATGAAAGACTCAGAAAGAATGCCCCTCACGAGGCCGATCTGAGTAGGGGAGGGGAAACGGGATAATTCAGATATTTGACACAGGAACAATGAACCGGTATAAGAAGAGAAAAGAAAAAATAGGGAGCAAATAAATCAATAGCGGGTAATACTGGAAGAAATTAAGGATTCAAATTCGGAAGGTAGGAGGAATCGGGTAACTTCTATAGTTAATCATGATGGAAATAGCCAAACTATTTTTTTAAACATATTTAGAAGAACGTAATTTTATCAACGGCTTGAACAGAATTTTGATTTAGGCCCTAGAATCAAAAATATTTACGGTTTTCCGAGCCTGACCCCCCCCCCCCCCCCCCCTATTTTTGGTGAAGTGTGACATGTGACAGGGCACATCTATAGATAAACTTGAAGGAAACAGTTAAACTTTAGTTTAAACATGATTAAAATGACAAAATCTTATCAACGACTTGAACAGAATTTTAATTAGGCCCTAAAAATAAAAATATTCACTGATGATAGAACACCTTTTGTTTTTCATCATAACTTGAAAACAAAAAAAAATATCAAAAAACTGTTAACGCCATTCGATTTGAAATTAAAAAAATACTATTAGACAAATGTTATTGGTTTGTTTCGTATCGGAAAAATAGGTGAAATGGAAAATGGTCGATTTCGGCTGTCCGAAGCTGGAAGGATATCTTTCGGATATCGTTCATTTAACCTACTTTCACCACAGGGACCAAATTGATTCCACTTTTTCTATGTTATTGTTTTATCTCATCTTCTGCTTGGTCTAACAGTGACTGGAATCGGATCTAGACAGAGTGCCTACTGCCAGATGATGTCGTAAGATGTGTGTCGTGTGTCATTCCTAACCAATCGAAAGTCTACACTTTCTTCTAAAACTCATTTAATAAAATTCATAATTATCCAATCATGTTCATTTAATTTCTTTACAGGTGCACAAAACTCATTTCATCACAATTTTGCTCTCTTCTTCGTGCTCATCGTCGTTGAAAATACTCTTCACCTTATCGAAGCTCTTCACCTTATCGAAGACGAAACAAAAAGTTCTTTAGGATGGTTTTTGATCAGATTACCGTTTTTTCGCTAATAGAAGCCCACACCGTCAATTTTGAGCTCAATTACCTCGATTCCTGTGAAATATGTTGAAAACTGGTTAACTGATAAATTGTTTATCATAACTTAACCAATATTTATTCTTTGAAAATTTTTTGATTCGTTTCACAGAAATCGAGATAATTGAGCTTAAAATTGAAAGTTTAGGTGGGCTTCTATTATAGGAGAAACGGTAGCTTGATTGTAGATAATCATTGAACAAGAAATGTCAGTGTTCTTAACTGATATCAAGAATATGAACAACAGCTGACACATTTTCTTTAAATGCTCAATTTTCAAAAATTCGCAGAGAAAAATTGGCAAAAAATATTTTTTGAACTACCCGCTGTATTCTTTTTCTCAACAGAGCGAAATTGCATCGAATCCTCAAAAAACAGCACACCCCGATAGTTATCCACCCCACTAGATCTCTTGCCAGCACGCCCTGTTTATGTGCATTTCCTCCTGACGTCACTCTAATTTTTCCCCATCATCTCGACTCTTCCCCTCTCGATATACGCGCATACATCTGTTCGGTTGCTCTCTAACACACTGCACGCAAATCTGTTGTTTCTGGTGACCCCGTTTTTAGCGAAAATGTGGAGGGTCATCCTCCCACCACCAACGGACCCTTCTTCGTTATGCCTCACTTGTTCATTAGCAGGCGGAGGATTCCCTCACACCACCCCCTTGACGCGTTTGCAAATCGTCTGATTTGTTTCTTTTCAATCCGATTTTCTTATCGAAACTAAACTTAAATTAATTCAGATGGATTCAAATACCAACCACCCATCTCTTGGAAACCTCGACTTTCACCGCAAGGCTGTTGTGTTCTGCAGATTTTTCGTGAGTTTTATCAATTAGTGAAAGAAATAATCAATATCAAACAGAAAATTTTGTATTTTGAAAAAGTGAAAAGAACACAGTTTCATTGACCCTTAGAAAGAGGCAAGTATCGGCTCAAAGCCAGATTTTTAATGTTTCAGTTGTTCTTCGACTGCCGCCAAGGCAAAAACTTCGGAATCCGAGTCACTCGACCATCCGAGACCTCTTCAAGGATAGATTTTCTTTACAACTGCTAATCCCATACTTCCAAGTCAGAACATTTCATCACCTGGTCGTTGTCTTACATCCGGCAAAAATGATAAAGTTCACGATACTGTAAGTCACTTTGCGAATAAAACAAATAACCTCCGGGAGCACATAAAAACGTTACATATCTGATTTCAGGCCCCTCTACCACGTAGTGAGAGTGACTTCAATTGAGAAAGCTCCCGAGACAGAAGAAGAGCAAGATTTCCATGAAGACAACGCTTTCCGAGACAGAAGTTATGCCTCCGCGGCCAAAAATCTACTCGTTGAGATGCGCCGTCAGCCAAAACACCATCGGAAAAATTTTTCGAAGTCGATGGGTGCATATCATAAGGAGCTCTTCTTGCTCATATATGGCTGATTGATGTGTAGCTTGCTCAAGGTAAGGTTGTTGTCAAAATAAAACTTCTAAAGCAAACTTCATACCACTCTTCATCACATTAGCCATTTTTGATAAGGTAAAAAATACGGCAATACATGAGCCAATCGGAAGATCTTCTGGCTCTATGAATGCACAAGCGTGCTTTCTAATTACGGTTTCAAAGACAAAATTTTCATATTATTCAGAGCTGAGGCTCTTTTGATCTGAGATATTGCTCCAAAACGTGCGGGAAGAGGTGAGAAATTAGATGTCCTGAAATTGAAAATGTCTGAGAATGATACGAATTTTTTTCAGAATGCAACCGCCACATTCCCAAGGATCACCAGAAGTACAAGCTAAAATAATCCATGACCAACAAGGACCCCACAAGGAGATACCATGAACCAGCAACAGCGTGTTTAACTTAAACGTCGGCACCTTCCGCCGGATCATCGTCAGAAAGATCGCCGTCATCCTCTCGAAGGCTCGGACCAAAAACGCCTCATGGACCATTTGTCCACCGGATGGGGGATGTTCACATCCAATATCTCGGTGTCGCGCAATCGCTGTTGGATGGAAATCAGTCGTTGTGGACAGAGTCTCACGATCCGCACAGTTTAGGTCAGATTCCTGTGCTCCGAACTACTGTGTAATATCAAGAGTATAAAAAACAGCTGACATTATTTCTTTAAATGCTTAATTTTCGAAAAATCGCCGAGAAAAGTTGGCAAAAATTTTTTTGAACTGCCCGCTGCTTTTTTTTCTCAGCGGAGCGAGGTTACATCTCGACTCTTCCCCTCTCGAATTACGCGCACATCTGTTCGGTTGCACTCTAATCCACTGCAGGCTAATTCGCTGTTCATGTTGAACCCGTTTTATACGAAACTGTGCAGGGTCACCAGACCAACGAACCTATCCTCGTTACAAATTGCCCCACTCGTTCATTAGCAAGACGAAGGAGACTCTCACGCCATCCCCTTGACGCGTTTGACGTGCATGGCGCAGTTTTAGTATGCGTAGTCAAATCGAATGATACTTTTTCAAATCAACCCAATTTTTTCCCCGAAACTAAGCTTTAACTATTTCATATTCTTCCAAATACTGCCGCCAACCACTCGACATTCGGAAACTTGTTTTGAGAGGCCAATGTTGCTGTTTCTGCAGATTTTCCGTGAGTTTTTTTTCAACCTCCGGGAAAAAAATCAATATCAAACCCAAAAATTATTTGGTTTGACAGAGTGGAAAGAAAACATTTCCATTTAACCTTGAAAAAGTGACAAGTATTGACTCAGAACCAAATTTGCAATTTTACAGGGCTTTCTCAAAATTGACCGGAAAAACCTAAATAATTGAATATACAGCACCGGACAAAAAGCTATCAACTTTTGGTTTTTCGGCTATAATTTTCTTCAAAATAGGGCT